CTATGGAAATGGTATGGAGGGTCCTCAAAAAAAGTAAAAATGGAACTGCCTTATGACCCAGCATTTCCACTTCTGGATATGTATCCAAAGTAACCCAAAAACTAATTGCAAAGAATATATGCACCATTATGTTTACTGCAGCATTATTTACAATAGTTAAGATATGGAAGCAGCCTCAGAGCCCATCAATAGCTAAGTGGATTAAAAAGTGATGGTATACACATAGAATGAAATATTACTCAGCCATAAAAAAGAATGAAACCTTACCAACTGCAACAACATGAACGAACCTATAAGGTGTTATGCTAATTGAAATGAGTCAGACAGAGAAAGACAAATACCATATTGATTTCACTTATATGTGGAATTTAAAGAACAAAATGCAAAAATAGATGAACAAACAAGATAGAAACAGACTCATAAATAGAGAACAGACTGATGGTTGCCAGTGGTGGGGGGTGAGAGGCAGTAGAAAAGGGTAAAAAAGGTGAGGGGATTAAGTAGTGCATATTTGTGCCCTGGTCGGTATGGCTGTTCGTTGGGCATTATCCTGCAGAGTGAGGGGTCACCTCTTTGATTCCGGATCAGGGCACAAGACCATGTTGCAGATTCAGTCCCCTGTCAGGGTGTGTACAAGGTGTGGCTGATCAATGTTTCTCTCTCACACCAATGTTTTGCTAACTCCCTTTCTCCCTTCCTTCCCCTCCCTGTAAAAATAAAAAATTTTTAAAAAGCACAAATTTGTAGTTACAAAACAGTCATGGGGGTGTAATGTAGAGCACAGGGAACGTACAATGCTAGGTTACTGAAAATATTGGTGGGAACACTAAAGTATGATTGTCCAACCATATGCTATACACCTGACACTAATACAAAACAACACTGACTATAAACTTTAATTGAAAACAAAAAAAAATCTAAGATGAAAAGAAAGATAGAAAAGGTTAATAAAATGATTAAATGAGCCCTTGCTGGGTAGCACAGTTGATTGGGGCATTATCCCATGCTACAAAAAAGGTTGTGGATTCGATCTCCCATTGGGGTGTGAATGGGAAGCAACAGATTAATCCTCACATCAATGTTTCTCTTTCTCTCTAAAATCAATAACCATATCCTTGAGTGAGGATAAAAAAAAAAAAGAATTAAATGACTCACAGGTCCACACTAATAAACATAAGTCTATTTTCATAAGATGGAACGTCTAGTTTTATGTGTATTTTATGCATAGCTATAATGTTATGTGAAGTTTCAGCCCATAAGCCCCACAGTAAAATATGATTCAACTCCAGAGATCCTCATTTTGCTGTTATTTTTTTTTTCCTGTGTTGAAAATCCTTCAATTAATAGAAGAGGGAAGCACACAGCAACTAGACTTAAGACACTGGGGGAGCTATGACTCTTAACAATAACAATAATAATATAATTGTTGCCATCTTATTCTATCTTTCTTCTGGCAAAAATTGATTCATTTTACTAATGGTGACAGCAAACAAAACAAAATCTAAATAATACTAAAATAAGGCATTTTTTTTTACTATATTATATTCAAGTTAAAAAGTGAAAAATTGCAACAAAAACAACCTACAAAAGGTCCTTTGGTCCTTTCCACAAGTAACCTAACCCTTAAATTACAAACATATCTCTATCACTCTTCACCTGACAACTTGGTGAATGTTCTTTTTAGAATTCTAGACTAAATGTTATTAATCAAAGGATCTGATTTTGCAACTTTTGTCCCCCCCAAATAAAACTTCTGAGAACTCAGGAATGTTTTAAATTCATCCATATTTCATAGATAATAAAAATTTGTATCATATATCATAAACAAAATAAACATTATTGAAAACGTTTTTATTTTTAGTCCCCACTGAGGATATGTTTATTGATTATTACAGAAAGGAAGGAAGAGAGAGCAAAATACTGATATGAGAGAAACATCTTTCAGTTGCCTCCCACACAAGCCCAGACTGGAGATCAAACCTGAAACCTAGGTAATGTGCCCTGACAAGACTGACTCCAAACCTTTTGGTTTATAGGACAATGTTTAAAATCAATTGAGCCACTCAGCCAGGACTAAAACTTCCCCTTTTTAAAAATATTTTTATTTACTTACTGATTTGAGAGAGAAATATCAATTTATTGTTCTGCTTACTTATGCATTCATTGGTTGCTTCTTATACGTGCCCTGACCGGGGATTGAACCCATAACCTTTGCATACCAGGATGACACCAATCAGCCAGGGCAAAACCTTCTTCATTTATATGAATGAGTATCAAGAGAGTCATTTAGCACTTTTTCTTCTTCTGTTACATTTTAAAGTCACAGTCAGAAATGTAACATAGTTTTGAATTAATGAGGTAAAAGGATGACAAGAATATAAAAAATACAGCAGTAATCTAAAGTACTTGCAAAAAATGTTTCCAAGTTTCAGTTATGCCCAAAATTTGAGTGACATGGTAGTACAGTATCTAACTACAGGCTGCTTTTTAAAAAATTATCAGCTTATGCTATGCTTTAAAATTGACAAGCAAGTTATGTATCCACTTCAACATTAAACACACAGCTTCAATTTAGTGGAGAAGTGGTAACACTGAAATAGAAAAGAAATACATGGCCAAGACTTCTGATTTTAACCTATTAGAGCTTCTGGTTTTAATCTATCAGCATGTATGGGAGACAACTGCTAGACATTTCTCTCATATTATGTTTTACTCTCTTTCTCTCCCTTCCTCTCTCTCTAAGAATCAATGTACACAAGATGAAGTTCATGCTTACACAAACACACATCAAAAATTTAAGAAATAATTACAAAATAAAAAAAGTAAAACAATGAAATAAACAGATCCAAAAGAATGATTTTCAATGGACATTATTTTAAGTCTTCAACATCTTTAATTGCTTTTAAGTTTAACATATCTTTCAATATAGAGATCCCAAATTTTTATGAAACTGTTTATCAGGCTAACTCTTAACACACAAAAGGTGTACATAGTAGTAAACTGAAAACAAACATGCATGAACAAATTCATAAAATGTTTGCAAATATATTTTTACGAGTTCAATGACGTATAAATTAATCAATATATCACAGTTCGGCAAATATTAAATGCCATTCCTACCCCCTGAAGAAAGCTTACAATATGGAAACAAAGACTCTTATGTTGCACGGAAAGTAATATAATTTTTTTTGGTGGGGGAGATTTTGCATTAACCATCAAAAGCTTTAAAAATGTTGACATTTTGATTTAGCAATTCCACCTACAGAAACTTTTCTCAAGAAAATATGAATGCCAAGCTTAAAATATTCTTGTGAACTGTTTACAATTAAGAAACTAGAAACAATCTCAAATAACAAGCTATTAAATAAAATATACAGATAAAGAGCTAATTACATTTGACACGACCTAATAATATATGTAACAAGAAATGTCAAGTGCTTCCCCACCCCCCCCCAGTCCAAGTCAAGACCAAGACAAGGGTTTGTACTCTTACCACTTCCATTAAATATTGTATTACAAAAAGAAATAAACAGGGAACCTGGGAGGCCAAAATATTTCCATAACACTATTTGTCTTGTTCACTGTGCTGGTATTTGCACAAATGGTATAAAAGCAATGATGGATAATACTGTTGAGTAGTTTTTCTTCCCCATCACGTACTTGTAGGAAAGAAAAAATTATCTTCATTTATGGTTGTTATTCAAACACCAACTAGTCAATACAGTTCTGATGCTAACCCGCTGGACTTCATAGAGTATAAAAAGTTCATTACGTATATAGTTTAAAATTCCTTACTGTAAGAACCTTTAAGAAACTACCACTTGCCAAGTTTTGATGCCATGTCCAAAAAATGACAACCCCCCCCAAAAAAAACAAACAAAACCCCCCCCAAAAAATCAGCAGTAAAAAATGGGAAACCTTATAAATGCTGAAAGAAACTAGAGGAACAGGTATCTCAGACAGAGGAATATTTTATGTCTATGAAACGTCTATTTTTAAAATGACACAACATATCAAAATTTAGCCTAATTAAATCAACAGAATACAAATCTGTATGTTATATGCTCTGGATTATAGTTTCTACAACCACAGAAGCAACGACTAAAAGCAAACAAACCATAATTTCTATAGTGGTCATTTCCAATTAGTGGGGTAGGTGACAGGTAGTATGATTTCTTCCAAATATTCTACAATACCCATGTATATTTGCATAACCAGAGAAAAAGATTAATTGGGAAAAAAAAGACTACTAACATTCCATTAAAACAAAAAGTAGCTAAGTTACAATAAGTAGCTCTAGTTTCTTTTCAGTCCTTTCCCAAAATTCTAAGTTGGTCAATAGCTAAAAAGCACTAAAAAAGGCCAAAAACCAATACCAACAACACCCTTCCCCTCTAAAATACAAAATTCCTCTCCAAACCCCATGCCATGAAAAAGCCACAAAAAAGATTTGCTAAGTGCCAACTTTCATTTTATCTTAATCTTATCAGAACAAAACTCTTTAAAATACAGGTCTCTGAATTAAAGGCAAGAAACTTTTAAAATTAAGCATCTAATAAAATGCTGATTTAAAAATGAAAACCAGAGACAAGCAGCCCAACAGTAAACACCTGTAAACCAAAAATTTGAAATTTCAGGTTGGTTACATAATTATAAAATTCAATTACAACATATTACTTTATATTCCGCTTCAGTTCAACCTATCTTTTTACTGGATAATTTTTACATTAAAAGAGATACCAGGAAACAAGGGTGACGGTAGTGGTTATGGAGGGTTTCAATTAAAACACTTCAGATATAAACTGCAATGGGAAAAATAGAGTAATTCCCAAAAAATTCAGAGACCAAGCAGACCACACAGTTTTATTAAGTAAAATATTCTATATTAACTTGCAAGTCAAAGAAAATATTCCACATATAGAATGTAAATAAAATAAATATGGGTACTAAACATAACAGCCAAAAGTTTATTTACTTGGAGTAGATCACTCACGGCTTACCAGGACTATGATGAGTTGCAAATCCTCCGTTCTGAAATTCGTCTCCTGCCACATTCATTCTACCAGGATTAAAAGGTCCTACTCCAGTCTTGGTCTGTGAAGTTAAAGATGGGGGTGTATGTTTGTATATTAACACCAAAGTTACTTGACTGAAGTCCTTTAGCGACATCTCCCAAGTTGGCATTCTATAGTGATGTTATAAATGTAATCATTAGGTTCATATCTCGCCCAGCATTCACAGAGCTTACACCTGTATCTAAGGTTGTAAAATTAGCAATCTGAATTTCAGAGTCGATTCTGTACTGATAACACTATTACCCATTCCTGCATTTACCTTTCTTCTTGAAAGACTGGGAGTGGAGAAATCCACATCTTTGGTTCTGTTTTTAGTTACTGGAAGTCCCCATTCAGTAAAACTGGAAAAAGTTTTCTTTTCTCCTCCATTTGTTTCTATGTCCTCTTCATCATCGATAACAATTGTCTCACTTACATTTCCCTTCTGAGAAGCCAAATCTCTTGAGGAAGAATGAATTATGGAATAATTTCCTTGTAGCTTTTCATTTCTTGATGAAGCAAATATAAAATTTCTTTGATCGGCTATTGCCGAAGAAGTGGAAGGAGGATGTATAGATTCAATAAACACAACATCATCATCATCATCATCATCATCATCATCTTCCACTGCTGAGGTTCTAGAGCTATTCACTACAGGACTAGCTGGATCACCAAGTGAATTTCCTACTTCTATAAGACTAGCTGCCATGGCTTTATTCCCTAATAACACAGGAGTCTGTTCCATCAAGTCTAATTCTCCTGCTGTGTTCATGCCAAAGAACCTGTAAGAGACAGAGAAAAGAAAAAAAAGTTATAGTATGATTACTGTAAGAAAGAGCAAAGAAATTTTAAATTCTATTCTTCACGTGAATTTGATCTAACTTTTAAGAAAACAATTGTTACTCATTCCGTTTTTCCTCTTCTATTAAGCATATAATGCTTATATCATCAGTTTGATGAAAATTAATTATCCAGTTTTTGGTAGTCCTTAAAAAAATTTACTCAACAGTAAAGTCCTCACTTAACATCATCAATAGCTTCTGTGACTTTAAGCAAAATATTTAAGGAAACCAATTTTACCATAGGCTAGTTGATATAAACAAAAATGAAGTCCCTATAACATTTTATCAAAGGTATAATGAAACATTATTTGAGGAACTGTTGTACTCAATTTAACCTATTCATCCTTTATAGGGGGAAAAAAAACCCTATATTCCTTTGAAATAGAAAACATTACCAAAATAATTTATCAAGTATTAATAACACAGAGCCCAAATATAATCAATATACTACATATACTTTTACCTAATAAAATTGTTATTGTCCAATTTCTATTTCCGTAGTCTTTTGTCATTGTTTTTCAAATTCTCTACTTCCAAAACAACTATGTGATTAAATCTTTCCAAATCATTTTTATGTATATTTTATTAATAATCTGTCATGTTTTAGGATACCAAAAGTAATTCTAATGGTTGCTATTTAACAAAAACAAAAACAAAACAAAAAAATTTAACCTCATCTTAAATCCACTGATCCACTTTATTCAATGGTACTATTCAATGTTAAAAGGAACATAAAAACAAACATGCACATAACTGCACAATTGCAGTTTTCATAGAGGTCTATTTCATGATTGGTGGGTAGTATATTTAACAGTTAAATACATTTAAATAATGTATAAGTGACTGCACAAAGGCAGCACTGGTAACTAGATAACCAATTCAACTAGAAATATGCTAAAAAGTAACTGTCTAAATATTTAAAACACAGCTCTTGTTTAGTTCATCCTTTGTTTTCATCACCTTCTTGGAGGGGAAAAAAGCCTGCTGGTCACAATAGAAATATATTAAAACCAAATCTTCTGATATACATTCCCAGAGTTTTCTTTTTTTTTTCCCTCCTGTTTTGTTTTTCCCCTTTTTATGGTCGTCGGTGGTGGTGGTGGTGGTGGTGGTGGTGGTGGTGGTGGGAGTGGTGTGGTGGGCAATTCTTAGAGCCTTCTTTCAGCTGGATTAAGCCTCCAACCCCAGGGTAAGCCCAAGTTTATGGCCCCCAGCATTAAAGCTCTTCCTATCTAACAGAACAGACAGTGGAAGCTTCACACCAGGCCTGATGAGTGTAGTCCACTCCAATTAGAGTTGCTGACTTTTGCAGAAATGGAAGCAGTGGAATCCAAATGATAGTTAGCTGCAATGCCAAAGCAAGTGTAGTTGGTACCTGATGTCCAAGGAAGGTTTACTGAAGTGTCAAGATCTTCACAGACTCTGATAAATTGAACCTTAAAATTCTGTCCCATCATTGACATTAGTGTGTAGCTGGAAGCCCCCGGTCCTATAGGCCACTGCAAAGTTACTCCTTGTCAGCTTTGATATGGCACTCAAAGGTCATTTGGTATCCAGCAAGCTAGCCCTTGTAACCAAAGACAGCTGAACCATGGATTCAGGTTCAGCAAAAAAACAAAGTCAACATCACAACCAAAAATTATACATTCCCTCTTGTAAGACGACTTGATTTTACTATTTTTCTTTCTTGTGTTTGGTGAAAAGGTACTATTAAATGTCAGTTTTAAATCTTGACAAATCTGACCTTCAACTGCAATTTCTGTTCACAGAGTGTTATCAGTGTTCCATTTCTCCACGAGTGTGTTCCATACTCATACCATTTATATTTGGTCTCCAAAGTTCCACTAATTTTACCAGTGTCTGTATTAGATGAACCAGATGTTGAGATTTCCACGACACTGCATGACTTTGTTTTCATGTCCAGTTTCACAAACCCAAAACCAAATCCTTTGCTGAAGATATCTCTAGCACCTGCCAAGGTCAGCACATGATGGAGGGATATGCACTGGATGTGTGCAGTTGTGTCCATAGGTTGCCATGGCGAGGCCATATGAAGAGATGATCTAGTGGTCTCCTGAGGTAGGCTGTTGCCACTGCTGCGCTCGGGGTAGGTCTGAGGCTGCAAGAAGGCATTGTTCTGCCTGCTGTAACCCTGTCCTACCCCTCCAAATCATTTTTGTCTTGTCCAGGAAGTGTAAGAGATTATACTGTGTTCTCTATGTAAAATGCTAAAAATGACACCATGACATAGATATAATTTAATCCATTTCACAGATCACAAAAAGGGAAGCTAACTAAATTGCTCTGGGTAAGCCCAAATAGGGCCACAAATTCTTTACCACTCTGTTATATTCAACAAACACTTCTCTGTACCTGTTATGCACTTGAGCATGGCAAAAGAAAGGTTCCAACAGAGGAACACGGTTGAAGAATCTTGAGAAGTGAGTAATCAATAAAGAGAGGCTCCAAGAGGCTCTTACAGGTGAGGGATGAGGATATGTGCACAAGTGGTAGTGAAATTAATCTTGAATAGAAATAACCTCTATCTCCAAAAGGCCAGGGAGAAAAAGGTAGGTATAACAGGAATGCATATAAATATGTAGAAATGATAGGTGGAAAGCTGAGTTCAGTTTACCCACGCTTGCCTCAATTTTCTTAGAAACTCATGAGTGTAGGAGGTGAGAATTGTTTGGATGTCAAATGTTTTTAAAAAACTTAATTTGCCATCAGATTCCATTTTAAACACCTCATATTGAAATATGCTAAGTAACAGTTCTATTCTAAAATTTTCCACAAGTAGGGACTTTCGGCTAAGATGGAGGTATAGGTAGACAGACTTTGTCTCCTTGCACAACCAAAGGAAGGAAAACACACTTAAAAAAAAAAATAACCAGAACTGCCAGAAAATCGGACTGTGTGGAAGTCTGACAATCAACAAGTTAAAGAAGAAACACTCATCCAGACCGGTGGGAGGGGCAGAGATGGGCAGCTGGGGTGGAGAGAGCACACGGCAAGGCGGTGGCTGGAGGACCAGGCAGGTGAGGCGGCAGCTGGTGGACTGGGCAGTCCCACATTCAAGTGAAGACTGGGAAGAACAGCCAGGGAGTGAGACAGACCTCGAAACCCAGGACTCCAGTGCAGGAAAAGAAAGCCTCAAAACCTCTGGCTATTAAAAAAAAACTGTGGGGGGATTTCGACAAGATAGTGGAAGAGTGAATAGAAGTCACAATGACCTCCTCCTAGGACCAATCTGGAATTACAACTAAACCGTGGAGAAATCACCTGGAACAGACAACTGAACAATAGCGAAAGAAGAGCCTTATAATCTCGGGCAGAAAGAAGAATGAGCTTTAGCACAACCTGATAGGTAAGGAATGCGGTAGAAACTCAAGGAGGTGGGTGGGGCACCCATGGGCAGCAGCAGCATCAGAGGAATATTTAAATGGCCAATCGGATCCTCCTGAGAAGAGTGGGGTCTGAACCATAGGTGGGGATCTCCAGCCTATAGCACCAGACCCCAAAAAGTACACAGATAACAACCAGCTGCAAAAAGGGGCAGGGTTGCTCTCTGACAGAGATGGGCAGCTGGAGATGCAAAGAGCCATTTAAAGGGCCTATGAATAAATTTTTTTTGCAACCACTTACCCTGGGCTTTGGCAAAGGCAGGGCAGACTGGGCTAGAGATGCTTGAGGAAAGACTGGGGAAGGAGGTTTTGGGGAGAGAATTGAGGGAATAGAGAGTAGGATCCTGGTGCTGATTCCTCCCCTAAATGGCAGCAGACACCTTGCTCAGGCAGACCACTCCCCTGAGTGGCAGCAGCATGAGAGGACAGAGTGACTAGATTAACAGCTGAAGGAGACAGCCACAGACAGTAGATTCCTAGAAGTCTGGAACAGACTGTCTAAGGTCAGACAGGGCCAACATCTGACATCATCAGAGGCAGATCCAGAAAGAAAAAACAATGGTCTCCTACCACAGAAATTCACAACAGAAAGTCAGGAAGTCAAGACATATCAATGGAAGAAACAGAAGCAAAAAAGAGTCGTCTCACAAATAATGGGAAGACAAAGAAACACCCCCCAATTGAAGGGAAAGGAGGAAATCCCAGAAAAAGAAATAAATGAAATAGAGGCAAGTACATTATCAGATACTGAGTTCAAAACAATGGTTCTAAGGAAGTTCAATGAGCTCAGTGAGCTCAGAGAGAATTGCCAAAAATTCTCGGGAAAGTAAGAGGAACTTACTGCAAACTATATCAGCATGAAAAAGGACACAGACACTATCAAGAGGCAAGAAATGAAAAATACAATTTATGAATTGAAGAACATAGTAGAAGGAATCAAAATCAGGCTAGATGAAGCAGAGGATAGAATCAGTGAGCTAGAGGACAAGGTAGAAAAAAGCTGCCAGAAAGAGCCAAGAAAATGAAAAGAGACTCAAAAAGAATGAAGAGGTGTTTAGGGAAATGCAGGACAAGAAACGTAGTAATAATAAAATAAACAAATAAATAAATTTTTCCACAAGTAATTGATGATAGTTACAGTTACGTAATAGGTAACATTTATTCTTAATAGGTGATATGTCAATAATATGTTAATTCAGTGAATGCTTACAAGAGGTAGGAAGTGTTCTTTTTCTCACTTTACCATTAGGAAACTAAGACTCAGAAGGTAAAGAATCTACACTTACCCAAGTCTCCATTACTGGAAAGGATAGAGTCAATTGAAATCTCGAGAAGTTTGATTCCAGAATCTAATTCATAGCCACTATGTTATATGTAATTAAGATACAAAACAATTTTTAAAAGTCACTTATCTTTTATTATAATGAACAAATTCATTAAAACAAAATTCACATTCAACAAAGTTTATTTCAGCTGTAACCATTGTGGCTCAGTTACTTGGGCATTGTTCCACAGAGTGAAAGGTCACTGGTTGGATTCCAGGTCAGGGCACATGCTGGGACTGTCGGCTCAGTCCCCGATCAGTGTGCATGCAAGAGGCAAATGATTGATGTTTCTCTCCCTCTCTTTTTCCCTCCCTTCCCCTCTCGCTAAAAATAAATAAATAAAAATCTTAAAAAAAAAAAAAAGTCTTCTATTTCAAAAATACTCTTATCTGTGGAATTAGGAACCAAGAAAAAGGAAAGACCTAAAGATAAGCACTCAAGAGGATTCCTTATCAATGGGCAAGAGTCCATAAAAAATGAACACTTCTAATATAAAAAAGACCCTCCATAAATTTTAGCAGATATGGAAAACTCAGTAAAAGGCTTGACAGATAAAGCTGAGACAATCTCAGGAAACCACCCCCCCCCAAAAAATTAGAGGATAAGAATTATAGCTACTATTAACAATATATACAGTGGTATCTCGATACTCATCATTAATTTGTTTCAAAACTTGTGATGAGTGCTGAAACTAATGAGTAATGAACAAATTTTTCCCCATAAGAAATAATATAATTAGAAATAGATCATGAAAATTTCTCCAGAAATTTCACATTTTACTGGACTATTATTAAGTAATGAGGCTGTTTGTAATACAGAACTGTAAAACTAAACAGACATGGATAAAAAGAGCAATTACATAAAAATAAAATAAAATTTAACTTCACCTTACCTGTACTGAGAGAAGTTCCTGGCATAATGGGATAGTGGTGAGGTAGAGGAAGTAGGGTCCTCTTCCAAGACAATTTCAGGTGATTTCTCAGGGGATTCCTCTGTTTTCTGTCTCTTGGCTTCACCGAACACTGTTGGAGACTCAGATTTAGGGAGATTAACTAACAACCTATTAAGAGAAACTTGTTTCTGTCTATTTTTCAAAATGTTTCTAAAGTGTGACATTGTCTGTTCATTAATCAGGTCCACATTTCGGCTTCTAGAGCTTTGTCTGGGTGATACTTTTCCACAAAGTTTTGAACTTCCAACCCATTTTCCACAATTTCCTTAATCAATGCAGTAGATGCTTCCTCCCCTTCCCTCCTTATCACCTGTACAAATTTCCTCAGCCACTATCTGTTGCTGCTCCCTTTGAAGTTCCGCAGCTCCTCAGTGCCGAGCTCTGCTCTGTGCGCCTCCACTAACTCTTCAACATCTTCATCAGTGACCTCTCCATGCCTCACCGCACTATGAATACCAGTTCTCTTTTTTAAATTTATCAAACCATCCATGACTGGCTTTAAATACTTCAGTGCTCTCACCACTTGTTCCAGGCTTGTCTTTTAACAGATCAGCATGCAATTGCCTAGCTTTCTCACAAATAATTGCCTCAGAAATGCTGTCACCCACTAACTCTTTTCCTTAATCCAGATGTAAAGCAATTTTTCAACTTCTTCCAATGTCTGTGAACGTTGCTTACTCACAGACTTTACTCCTTTAGCAACACTTGCAGCTTTTATTGCTTCCTTATTTCTCACGATCGTCGAAATCGTCGTTCTCGGCATCTTGAACATAAGAGCAATATCAGTCACACCTATACCACTCTCATACTTAGCTACAATCTCTTTTTTCTTTTCGATTGTGGTTCTTATTAACTGCCTTTTAGGCTTAGTGGTATCACTCTTAACCTTTTTGCGACCCATGATTAGTCTTTAAAATGCACAAAAGTACAAGACAGTAATGACGAATATGTGGGGGTTCTGCACTGTTCCCGAGCTACCGTGAGGCTGATGTGACCTTCTGTTTCATTGTGAGAGAGGGGCACCAAATGGCGAGCAAGTGATGAGTGATGAAACATTTTCTCTTGTGGGGCAGCATTGTGACTCATACAAGTTCTAGCAAAGGCGACGATTCCCGTGCAACCGCCAAGTGCTGAAACACTTTTTTCTCGTCAAAATGAGACGAGTACAGTGTTTGACTGTATATGTGTACATGTCCCATAACTTATGGGCCAGGCACTTTACCAATTTTTATACTCATTTCAATCTTCATAGCAATCCTGGGAAGAGAAACATAACTTACTCATTTATAAAATGTGCATACTAAAAGAGCATTTAACTGAATAGGATTTGGATTTGTAAATGTGCAGAACAAAGGTTCAAGTACTGACCCTTAGTTTATACTTGCCAAAGAGAGAAACTAGGTACCCCACCCACTCTGGTTGCCGCTAAAAACCTGACCCTTTGTTCCACATCATGATGAAATACCCTAGAAACACTCTGATGAGGAAAATGCTTTTCTAAGTGATTATAAAAGGGTCGGTGACTTGTTGCCCCGTCAATCTCAGTCCCTGCTAATTCTGTCCCTAAAAAGGTCCATTAGAGAGCTACAATTATATCTACATTCCATCATCTCCCCAAACTACTGGAGAATGTAAAATATCACTACTTCAGGTTTCGTAAGAAAATTACCCTATTGAGTAATATTCAATTCTAAAAGCTAGACGTAGCACTCTATATCCTGACACTCTGTCCTAGGTCTTAACTAAAAAGGTGTGCGGTGAAGCATAACAGAGTAAGTGCAAAACCAACTTTGGCCAGGAGCAATAAGGGCAAAGGGAAGGCATGACTACTACAATGGACAAGTTTCTTTTTAATGACCAATGGAAACTCTCTAATCAGCTTGAAAGGACAAACCAGGCAGACCAAAGACTACCACAGGGGGTGTCCAACTTTTGGTGTCTGTGGGCCACGCATTAAATACACAAACACTAATGAAAACTGACAAACAAAAAAAAGGTTTTAAGTAAATTTATAATTTTGTATTGGGCTACATTCACAGACATCCAGGGCCACAAACGCCCTTGGGCTGTGGGTTGAACACCTCTGCCAGCATCCCAGATAATGAATGTAGAATCATTAAAAAAAGAAAAAAAAAATCACCATTTTAAGACTCCTAATAAAATTAGGTCAAGCAAGGATTGGTGTTAAGACTGTTATCTGAACAGCTGACATAGAGCTAGGTATTCTACTGTGCCAAAACAAACACCAAACAGATTACTTTCTGGTAAAAAGGGAAAAAACACATTCACGTCATAAAAAGAAGGATTAAGCAGTCACTACCAATTCAGCGGTCCACCTCTGAAACACGAAGTACTGTGATAACCAGACAACCTTTCTCCTGCTATGATGCTAGCTGGGGACTTGTCCACCGTGACTCTGGGAACAGGGCCCACCCAAGCAATTAGCTCTTTGACTTCAAGATAAAGAAAGGCAGTCACACAGAACAACACCGTATTACTGCACTCAGTGTATGAAACAGGAAATCAGGGTCGAAATTACTCACAAAAGGATATGTTTTTCTCCTTAACTTCTGCCAAAGTATCACCAGATTGGCTTGAAGGGGATTCCTGGTCCTAAAATGAGAGAAAAGATGAAAAACGCTTTAGTTACAGCCAACCTGGACGTTGCAACAATTCCTCCTACCCTGCAGAGGGAAAACAGAGGGACAAAGAATAAATTCAAGCACTCTTTTGCCCTCCCACCCACCAATTCCGGCGGGGAGACCAGACTTAAAAATTCCATGGTGTCAAAACCACCGAGAGAGAGCTAAGTCTGTTCCTTCAAACTACAGAACAGGACAGGGCACCCGGCCAGCTCCAAGAAGGGGGGGTGCAGGTGCGGTGCCTCGAAGCCAGCAAGAGAATGGCCTTCCCCTCCTATAACCCATCCGGCATCTCCCCAGTCACTGACAGCAGCTCAGGCTCGCTGAAGTCCTGCTGGGCTGAGATCTCCCAGTTGTCCCAAGCGTTCGCCCTGGGCCGGAAACTTGCCCTCCCTTAAGCCTTAAAATCGCGCCCTTATAAGACCTGAAAAAGTGGAAGGGACCCGCCCGGACCCGGACCTGGCCCTCTAAACAGAGGGACCCCTCAATCCCGCCCAGCTCCGGTTGAATGGGAGGACTGGGCGCCCCCGGCCCCGGCCACGCACGGAGAGACATTGGAAACGCCGGGGGTGTGGCCTGCGCCTGACGGACAAGCCTCCCGGGCTGACCCTTAAAAGGGGCTCTGAAGGAAGGCATATGCGACCAATGGATTTGCCCTAGGCGCCCCAGGGCCCTCCCCGCCAGCCAATGGGGGTGCGGAGGGCGGGGTATGCTCGGACTCGGCGGCGCCGCCGCCGCCGCCGCCACCGCCTACTCCGCATTCTTCGCCTCCTCCGCCTCCTCCGCCTCCTCCGCCTCCTCCGCCTCCTCCGATTCCTCCGCCTTCTCCGGCTCCTCCTGGTCACAGCGCTAAATCTGGGACCCGATCGTGCGGAGTTGTGTGCTTTGCCGAAGCGGGTAGGTCGGTGTAGGTAAGGTTCTTTCCGCGGAGCCGCAGCTAAAACCAAATGAAATTCGTCCACGCGGTCTTCGCAGTCCTGACCCGTGGACGGTGTGGCTGTGTGCCTCGTAGCTTCGGGACGCAGAGATGAGCGAGAGCGGCCTCGGGAGCCTTCTACCGGCCTGGGACTCTAACCCTCGAGGCTGGACCGCCGTCGCCGTGGCGCGTCGGGTCTGAGGACTCGTCCGTACTCGCTCCTCGTATCGCGTGCGGCCTGAGGGCTGCGGGCGAGTCCGGGAGGGGCCGGTGAGGAAACCGGGTAGTGGCGTCGCGGGCATTTTCCTTTCTCTCCGGGTGCGATGGGGGAGGGGCGCCCAGTCCTCCCATTCCGGAGCTGGGCGGGATTGAGGGGTCCTCAAGTTTGAGGGCCAGGTTCCGGGTCCGGGCGGGTCCCGCTCCACGCTCTTTTTCAGGTCTTATAAGGGCGCGATTTTAAGGCTTAAGGGGAGGGCAAGTTTCCGGCCCAGGGCGAACGCTTGGGACAACTGGGAGATTTCAGCCCAGCAGGACTTCAGCGAGCCTTGGAGTTGGTGTCCAGTGACTGGGGAGATGCCGGATGGGTTTATATAGGAGGGAAGGCCATTCTCTTGCTGGCTTCGAGGCAACGTCTACCCCGCACCCCCGCTCCCTTCCCTTGAGCTGGCCGGGTGCCCCTGTCCCGTTCTGTAGTTTGAAGGAACAGACTTAGCTCTCTCTGGTGGTTTTGACACCATGGATTTTTAAGTCTGGTTTCCCCGCCGAATTGGTGGGTGGGGGAGGGCAAAAGAGTGCTGAACTCCTTTATTCTTTGTCCCTCTGCTTCTTCCCTCTGCAGGGTAGGAGGAATTGTGCAACGTCCAGGTTGGCTGTAACTAAAGCGTTTTTCATCTTTTCTCTCATTTTAGGACCAGGAATCCCCTTCAAGCCAATCTGGTGATACTTTGGCAGAAGTTAAGGAGAAAAACATATCCTTTGTGAGTAATTTTACCCTGATTTTCTGTTTCATACACTGAGTGCAGTAATACGGTGTTGTTCTGTGTGACTTGCCTTTCTTTTATCTTGAAGTCAAAGAGCTAATTGCTTGGGTGGGCCCTGTTCCCAGAGTCACGGTGGACAAGTCCCCAGCTAGCATCATAGCAGGAGAAAGGTTGTCTGGTTATCACAGTACTTCGTGTTTCAGAGGTGGACCGCTGAATTGGTAGTGACTGCTTAATCCTTCTTTTATGACGTGAATGTGTTTTTTCCCTTTTTACCAGAAAGTAATCTGTTTGGTGTTTGTTTTGGCACAGTAGAATACCTAGCTCTATGTCAGCTGTTCAGATAACAGTCTTAACACCAATCCTTGCTTGACCCAATTTTATTAGGAGTCTTAAAATGGTGATTTTTTTTTTTTTCTTTTTTTAATGATTCTACATTCATTATCTGGGATGCTGGCAGAGGTGTCCAACCCACAGCCCAAGGGCTGCTTGTGGCCCTGGATGTCTGTGAATGTAGCCCAATACAAAATTATAAATTTACTTAAAACCTTTTTTTTGTTTGTCAGTTTTCATTAGTGTTTGTGTATTTAATGCGTGGCCCACAGACACCAAAAGTTGGACACCCCTGTGGTAGTCTTTGGTCTGCCTGCTTTGTCCTTTCAAGCTGATTAGAGAGTTTCCATTGGTCATTAAAAAGAAACTTGTCCATTGTAGTAGTCATGCCTTCCCTTTGCCCTTATTGCTCCTGGCCAAAGTTGGTTTTGCACTTACTCTGTTATGCTTCACCGCACACCTTTTTAGTTAAGACCTAGGACAGAGTGTCAGGATATAGAGTGCTACGTCTAGCTTTTAGAATTGAATATTACTCAATAGGGTAATTTTCTTACGAAACCTGAAGTAGTGATATTTTACATTCTCCAGTAGTTTGGGGAGATGATGGAATGTAGATATAATTGTAGCTCTCTAATGGACCTTTTTAGGGACAGAATTAGCAGGGACTGAGATTGACGGGGCAACAAGTCACCGACCCTTTTATAATCACTTAGAAAAGCATTTTCCTCATCAGAGTGTTTCTAGGGTATTTCATCATGATGTGGAACAAAGGGTCAGGTTTTAGCGGCAACCAGAGTGGGTGGGGTACCTAGTTTCTCTCTTTGGCAAGTATAAACTAAGGGTCAGTACTTGAACCTTTGTTCTGCACATTTACAAATCCAAATCCTATTCAGTTAAATGCTCTTTTAGTATGCACATTTTATAAATGAGTAAGTTATGTTTCTCTTCCCAGGATTGCTATGAAGATTGAAATGAGTATAAAAATTGGTAAAGTGCCTGGCCCATAAGTTATGGGACATGTACACATATACAGTCAAACACTGTACTCGTCTCATTTTGACGAGAAAAAAGTGTTTCAGCACTTGGCGGTTGCACGGGAATCGTCGCCTTTGCTAGAACTTGTATGAGTCACAATGCTGCCCCACAAGAGAAAATGTTTCATCACTCATCACTTGCTCGCCATTTGGTGCCCCTCTCTCACAATGAAACAGAAGTCGTCACATCAGCCTCACGGTAGCTCGGGAACAGTGCAGAACCCCCACATATTCGTCATTACTGTCTTGTACTTTTGTGCATTTTAAAGACTAATCATGGGTCGCAAAAAGGTTAAGAGTGATACCACTAAGCCTAAAAGGCAGTTAATAAGAACCACAATCGAAAAGAAAAAAGAGATTGTAGCTAAGTATGAGAGTGGTATAGGTGTGACTGATATTGCTCTTATGTTCAAGATGCCGAGAACGACGATTTCGACGATCGTGAGAAATAAGGAAGCAATAAAAGCTGCAAGTGTTGCTAAAGGAGTAAAGTCTGTGAGTAAGCAACGTTCACAGACATTGGAAGAAGTTGAAAAATTGCTTTACATCTGGATTAAGGAAAAAGAGTTAGTGGGTGACAGCATTTCTGAGGCAATTATTTGTGAGAAAGCTAGGCAATTGCATGCTGATCTGTTAAAAGACAAGCCTGGAACAAGTGGTGAGAGCACTGAAGTATTTAAAGCCAGTCATGGATGGTTTGATAAATTTAAAAAGAGAACTGGTATTCATAGTGCGGTGAGGCATGGAGAGGTCACTGATGAAGATGTTGAAGAGTTAGTGGAGGCGCACAGAGCAGAGCTCGGCACTGAGGAGCTGCGGGAACTTCAAAGGGAGCAGCAACAGATAGTGGCTGAGGAAATTTGTACAGGTGATAAGGAGGGAAGGGAGGAAGCATCTACTGCATTGATTAAGGAAATGTGTGGAAAATGGGTTGAAGTTCAAAACTTTGTGGAAAAGTATCACCCAGACAAAGCTCTAGCAAGCCGAAATGTGGACCTGATTAATGAACAGACAATGTCACACTTTAGAAACATTTTGAAAAATAGACAGAAACAAGTTTCTCTTAATAGGTTGTTAGTTAATCTCCCTAAATCTGAGTCTCCAACAGTGTTCGGTGAAGCCAAGAGACAGAAAACAGAGGAATCCCCTGAGAAATCACCTGAAATTGTCTTGGAAGAGGACCCTACTTCCTCTACCTCACCACTATCCCATTATGCCAGGAACTTCTCTCAGTACAGGTAAGGTGAAGTTAAATTTTATTTTATTTTTATGTAATTGCTCTTTTTATCCATGTCTGTTTAGTTTTACAGTTCTGTATTACAAACAGCCTCATTACTTAATAATAGTCCAGTAAAATGTGAAATTTCTGGAGAAATTTTCATGATCTATTTCTAATTATATTATTTCTTATGGGGAAAAATTTGTTCATTACTCATTAGTTTCAGCACTCATCACAAGTTTTGAAACAAATTAATGATGAGTATCGAGATACCACTGTATATATTGTTAATAGTAGCTATAATTCTTATCCTCTAATTTTTTGGGGGGGGGTGGTTTCCTGAGATTGTCTCAGCTTTATCTGTCAAGCCTTTTACTGAGTTTTCCATATCTGCTAAAATTTATGGAGGGTCTTTTTTATATTAGAAGTGTTCATTTTTTATGGACTCTTGCCCATTGATAAGGAACCTCTTGAGTGCTTATCTTTAGGTCTTTCCTTTTTCTTGGTTCCTAATTCCACAGATAAGAGTATTTTTGAAATAGAAGACTTTTTTTTTTTTTTTTAAGATTTTTATTTATTTATTTTTAGCGAGAGGGGAAGGGAGGGAAAAAGAGAGGGAGAGAAACATCAATCATTTGCCTCTTGCATGCACACTGATCGGGGACTGAGCCGACAGTCCCAGCATGTGCCCTGACCTGGAATCCAACCAGTGACCTTTCACTCTGTGGAACAATGCCCAAGTAACTGAGCCACAATGGTTACAGCTGAAATAAACTTTGTTGAATGTGAATTTTGTTTTAATGAATTTGTTCATTATAATAAAAGATAAGTGACTTTTAAAAATTGTTTTGTATCTTAATTACATATAACATAGTGGCTATGAATTAGATTCTGGAATCAAACTTCTCAGATTTCAATTGACTCTATCCTTTCCAGTAATGGAGACTTGGGTAAGTGTAGATTCTTTACCTTCTGAGTCTTAGTTTCCTAATGGTAAAGTGAGAAAAAGAACACTTCCTACCTCTTGTAAGCATTCACTGAATTAACATATTATTGACATATCACCTATTAAGAATAAATGTTACCTATTACGTAACTGTAACTATCATCAATTACTTGTGGAAAAATTTATTTATTTGTTTATTTTATTATTACTACGTTTCTTGTCCTGCATTTCCCTAAACACCTCTTCATTCTTTTTGAGTCTCTTTTCATTTTCTTGGCTCTTTCTGGCAGCTTTTTTCTACCTTGTCCTCTAGCTCACTGATTCTATCCTCTGCTTCATCTAGCCTGATTTTGATTCCTTCTACTATGTTCTTCAATTCATAAATTGTATTTTTCATTTCTTGCCTCTTGATAGTGTCTGTGTCCTTTTTCATGCTGATATAGTTTGCAGTAAGTTCCTCTTACTTTCCCGAGAATTTTTGGTAATTCTCTCTGAGCTCACTGAGCTCATTGAACTTCCTTAGAACCATTGTTTTGAACTCAGTATCTGATAATGTACTTGCCTCTATTTCATTTATTTCTTTTTCTGGGATTTCCTCCTTTCCCTTCAATTGGGGGGTGTTTCTTTGTCTTCCCATTATTTGTGAGACGACTCTTTTTTGCTTCTGTTTCTTCCATTGATATGTCTTGACTTCCTGACTTTCTGTTGTGAATTTCTGTGGTAGGAGACCATTGTTTTTTCTTTCTGGATCTGCCTCTGATGATGTCAGATGTTGGCCCTGTCTGACCTTAGACAGTCTGTTCCAGACTTCTAGGAATCTACTGTCTGTGGCTGTCTCCTTCAGCTGTTAATCTAGTCACTCTGTCCTCTCATGCTGCTGCCACTCAGGGGAGTGGTCTGCCTGAGCAAGGTGTCTGCTGCCATTTAGGGGAGGAATCAGCACCAGGATCCTACTCTCTATTCCCTCAATTCTCTCCCCAAAACCTCCTTCCCCAGTCTTTCCTCAAGCATCTCTAGCCCAGTCTGCCCTGCCTTTGCCAAAGCCCAGGGTAAGTGGTTGCAAAAAAAATTTATTCATAGGCCCTTTAAATGGCTCTTTGCATCTCCAGCTGCCCATCTCTGTCAGAGAGCAACCCTGCCCCTTTTTGCAGCTGGTTGTTATCTGTGTACTTTTTGGGGTCTGGTGCTATAGGCTGGAGATCCCCACCTATGGTTCAGACCCCACTCTTCTCAGGAGGATCCGATTGGCCATTTAAATATTCCTCTGATGCTGCTGCTGCCCATGGGTGCCCCACCCACCTCCTTGAGTTTCTACCGCATTCCTTACCTATCAGGTTGTGCTAAAGCTCATTCTTCTTTCTGCCCGAGATTATAAGGCTCTTCTTTCGCTATTGTTCAGTTGTCTGTTCCAGGTGATTTCTCCACGGTTTAGTTGTAATTCCAGATTGGTCCTAGGAGGAGGTCATTGTGACTTCTATTCACTCTTCCACTATCTTGTCGAAATCCCCCCACAGTTTTTTTTTAATAGCCAGAGGTTTTGAGGCTTTCTTTTCCTGCACTGGAGTCCTGGGTTTCGAGGTCTGTCTCACTCCCTGGCTGTTCTTCCCAGTCTTCACTTGAATGTGGGACTGCCCAGTCCACCAGCTGCCGCCTCACCTGCCTGGTCCTCCAGCCACCGCCTTGCCGTGTGCTCTCTCCACCCCAGCTGCCCATCTCTGCCCCTCCCACCGGTCTGGATGAGTGTTTCTTCTTTAACTTGTTGATTGTCAGACTTCCACACAGTCCGATTTTCTGGCAGTTCTGGTTATTTTTTTTTTTAAGTGTGTTTTCCTTCCTTTGGTTGTGCAAGGAGACAAAGTCTGTCTACCTATACCTCCATCTTAGCCGAAAGTCCCTACTTGTGGAAAATTTTAGAATAGAACTGTTACTTAGCATATTTCAATATGAGGTGTTTAAAATGGAATCTGATGGCAAATTAAGTTTTTTAAAAACATTTGACATCCAAACAATTCTCACCTCCTACACTCATGAGTTTCTAAGAAAATTGAGGCAAGCGTGGGTAAACTGAACTCAGCTTTCCACCTATCATTTCTACATATTTATATGCATTCCTGTTATACCTACCTTTTTCTCCCTGGCCTTTTGGAGATAGAGGTTATTTCTATTCAAGATTAATTTCACTACCACTTGTGCACATATCCTCATCCCTCACCTGTAAGAGCCTCTTGGAGCCTCTCTTTATTGATTACTCACTTCTCAAGATTCTTCAACCGTGTTCCTCTGTTGGAACCTTTCTTTTGCCATGCTCAAGTGCATAACAGGTACAGAGAAGTGTTTGTTGAATATAACAGAGTGGTAAAGAATTTGTGGCCCTATTTGGGCTTACCCAGAGCAATTTAGTTAGCTTCCCTTTTTGTGATCTGTGAAATGGATTAAATTATATCTATGTCATGGTGTCATTTTTAGCATTTTACATAGAGAACACAGTATAATCTCTTACACTTCCTGGACAAGACAAAAATGATTTGGAGGGGTAGGACAGGGTTACAGCAGGCAGAACAATGCCTTCTTGCAGCCTCAGACCTACCCCGAGCGCAGCAGTGGCAACAGCCTACCTCAGGAGACCACTAGATCATCTCTTCATATGGCCTCGCCATGGCAACCTATGGACACAACTGCACACATCCAGTGCATATCCCTCCATCATGTGCTGACCTTGGCAGGTGCTAGAGATATCTTCAGCAAAGGATTTGGTTTTGGGTTTGTGAAACTGGACATGAAAACAAAGTCATGCAGTGTCGTGGAAATCTCAACATCTGGTTCATCTAATACAGACACTGGTAAAATTAGTGGAACTTTGGAGACCAAATATAAATGGTATGAGTATGGAACACACTCGTGGAGAAATGGAACACTGATAACACTCTGTGAACAGAAATTGCAGTTGAAGGTCAGATTTGTCAAGATTTAAAACTGACATTTAATAGTACCTTTTCACCAAACACAAGAAAGAAAAATAGTAAAATCAAGTCGTCTTACAAGAGGGAATGTATAATTTTTGGTTGTGATGTTGACTTTGTTTTTTTGCTGAACCTGAATCCATGGTTCAGCTGTCTTTGGTTACAAGGGCTAGCTTGCTGGATACCAAATGACCTTTGAGTGCCATATCAAAGCTGACAAGGAGTAACTTTGCAGTGGCCTATAGGACCGGGGGCTTCCAGCTACACACTAATGTCAATGATGGGACAGAATTTTAAGGTTCAATTTATCAGAGTCTGTGAAGATCTTGACACTTCAGTAAACCTTCCTTGGACATCAGGTACCAACTACACTTGCTTTGGCATTGCAGCTAACTATCATTTGGATTCCACTGCTTCCATTTCTGCAAAAGTCAGCAACTCTAATTGGAGTGGACTACACTCATCAGGCCTGGTGTGAAGCTTCCACTGTCTGTTCTGTTAGATAGGAAGAGCTTTAATGCTGGGGGCCATAAACTTGGGCTTACCCTGGGGTTGGAGGCTTAATCCAGCTGAAAGAAGGCTCTAAGAATTGCCCACCACACCACTCCCACCACCACCACCACCACCACCACCACCACCACCACCGACGACCATAAAAAAGGGGAAAAAACAAAACAGGAGGAAAAAAAAAAGAAAACTCTGGGAATGTATATCAGAAGATTTGGTTTTAATATATTTCTATTGTGACCAGCAGGCTTTTTTCCCCTCCAAGAAGGTGATGAAAACAAAGGATGAACTAAACAAGAGCTGTGTTTTAAATATTTAGACAGTTACTTTTTAGCATATTTCTAGTTGAATTGGTTATCTAGTTACCAGTGCTGCCTTTGTGCAGTCACTTATACATTATTTAAATGTATTTAACTGTTAAATATACTACCCACCAATCATGAAATAGACCTCTATGAAAACTGCAATTGTGCAGTTATGTGCATGTTTGTTTTTATGTTCCTTTTAACATTGAATAGTACCATTGAATAAAGTGGATCAGTGGATTTAAGATGAGGTTAAATTTTTTTGTTTTGTTTTTGTTTTTGTTAAATAGCAACCATTAGAATTACTTTTGGTATCCTAAAACATGACAGATTATTAATAAAATATACATAAAAATGATTTGGAAAGATTTAATCACATAGTTGTTTTGGAAGTAGAGAATTTGAAAAACAATGACAAAAGACTACGGAAATAGAAATTGGACAATAACAATTTTATTAGGTAAAAGTATATGTAGTATATTGATTATATTTGGGCTCTGTGTTATTAATACTTGATAAATTATTTTGGTAATGTTTTCTATTTCAAAGGAATATAGGGGTTTTTTTCCCCCTATAAAGGATGAATAGGTTAAATTGAGTACAACAGTTCCTCAAATAATGTTTCATTATACCTTTGATAAAATGTTATAGGGACTTCATTTTTGTTTATATCAACTAGCCTATGGTAAAATTGGTTTCCTTAAATATTTTGCTTAAAGTCACAGAAGCTATTGATGATGTTAAGTGAGGACTTTACTGTTGAGTAAATTTTTTTAAGGACTACCAAAAACTGGATAATTAATTTTCATCAAACTGATGATATAAGCATTATATGCTTAATAGAAGAGGAAAAACGGAATGAGTAACAATTGTTTTCTTAAAAGTTAGATCAAATTCACGTGAAGAATAGAATTTAAAATTTCTTTGCTCTTTCTTACAGTAATCATACTATAACTTTTTTTTTTCTTTTCTCTGTCTCTTACAGGTTCTTTGGCATGAACACAGCAGGAGAATTAGACTTGATGGAACAGACTCCTGTGTTATTAGGGAATAAAGCCATGGCAGCTAGTCTTATAGAAGTAGGAAATTCACTTGGTGATCCAGCTAGTCCTGTAGTGAATAGCTCTAGAACCTCAGCAGTGGAAGATGATGATGATGATGATGATGATGATGATGTTGTGTTTATTGAATCTATACATCCTCCTTCCACTTCTTCGGCAATAGCCGATCAAAGAAATTTTATATTTGCTTCATCAAGAAATGAAAAGCTACAAGGAAATTATTCCATAATTCATTCTTCCTCAAGAGATTTGGCTTCTCAGAAGGGAAATGTAAGTGAGACAATTGTTATCGATGATGAAGAGGACATAGAAACAAATGGAGGAGAAAAGAAAACTTTTTCCAGTTTTACTGAATGGGGACTTCCAGTAACTAAAAACAGAACCAAAGATGTGGATTTCTCCACTCCCAGTCTTTCAAGAAGAAAGGTAAATGCAGGAATGGGTAATAGTGTTATCAGTACAGAATCGACTCTGAAATTCAGATTGCTAATTTTACAACCTTAGATACAGGTGTAAGCTCTGTGAATGCTGGGCGAGATATGAACCTAATGATTACATTTATAACATCACTATAGAATGCCAACTTGGGAGATGTCGCTAAAGGACTTCAGTCAAGTAACTTTGGTGTTAATATACAAACATACACCCCCATCTTTAACTTCACAGACCAAGACTGGAGTAGGACCTTTTAATCCTGGTAGAATGAATGTGGCAGGAGACGAATTTCAGAACGGAGGATTTGCAACTCATCATAGTCCTGGTAAGCCGTGAGTGATCTACTCCAAGTAAATAAACTTTTGGCTGTTATGTTTAGTACCCATATTTATTTTATTTACATTCTATATGTGGAATATTTTCTTTGACTTGCAAGTTAATATAGAATATTTTACTTAATAAAACTGTGTGGTCTGCTTGGTCTCTGAATTTTTGGGAATTACTCTATTTTTCCCATTGCAGTTTATATCTGAAGTGTTTTAATTGAAACCCTCCATAACCACTACCGTCACCCTTGTTTCCTGGTATCTCTTTTAATGTAAAAATTATCCAGTAAAAAGATAGGTTGAACTGAAGCGGAATATAAAGTAATATGTTGTAATTGAATTTTATAATTATGTAACCAACCTGAAATTTCAAATTTTTGGTTTACAGGTGTTTACTGTTGGGCTGCTTGTCTCTGGTTTTCATTTTTAAATCAGCATTTTATTAGATGCTTAATTTTAAAAGTTTCTTGCCTTTAATTCAGAGACCTGTATTTTAAAGAGTTTTGTTCTGATAAGATTAAGATAAAATGAAAGTTGGCACTTAGCAAATCTTTTTTTGTGGCTTTTTCATGGCATGGGGTTTGGAGAGGAATTTTGTATTTTAGAGGGGAAGGGTGTTGTTGGTATTGGTTTTTGGCCTTTTTTAGTGCTTTTTAGCTATTGACCAACTTAGAATTTTGGGAAAGGACTGAAAAGAAACTAGAGCTACTTATTGTAACTTAGCTACTTTTTGTTTTAATGGAATGTTAGTAGTCTTTTTTTTCCCAATTAATCTTTTTCTCTGGTTATGCAAATATACATGGGTATTGTAGAATATTTGGAAGAAATCATACTACCTGTCACCTACCCCACTAATTGGAAATGACCACTATAGAAATTATGGTTTGTTTGCTTTTAGTCGTTGCTTCTGTGGTTGTAGAAACTATAATCCAGAGCATATAACATACAGATTTGTATTCTGTTGATTTAATTAGGCTAAATTTTGATATGTTGTGTCATTTTAAAAATAGACGTTTCATAGACATAAAATATTCCTCTGTCTGAGATACCTGTTCCTCTAGTTTCTTTCAGCATTTATAAGGTTTCCCATTTTTTACTGCTGATTTTTTGGGGGGGGGGTTTTGTTTGTTTTTTTTGGGGGGGGGTTGTCATTTTTTGGACATGGCATCAAAACTTGGCAAGTGGTAGTTTCTTAAAGGTTCTTACAGTAAGGAATTTTAAACTATATACGTAATGAACTTTTTATACTCTATGAAGTCCAGCGGGTTAGCATCAGAACTGTATTGACTAGTTGGTGTTTGAATAACAACCATAAATGAAGATAATTTTTTCTTTCCTACAAGTACGTGATGGGGAAGAAAAACTACTCAACAGTATTATCCATCATTGCTTTTATACCATTTGTGCAAATACCAGCACAGTGAACAAGACAAATAGTGTTATGGAAATATTTTGGCCTCCCAGGTTCCCTGTTTATTTCTTTTTGTAATACAATATTTAATGGAAGTGGTAAGAGTACAAACCCTTGTCTTGGTCTTGACTTGGACTGGGGGGGTGGGGAAGCACTTGACATTTCTTGTTACATATATTATTAGGTCGTGTCAAATGTAATTAGCTCTTTATCTGTATATTTTATTTAATAGCTTGTTATTTGAGATTGTTTCTAGTTTCTTAATTGTAAACAGTTCACAAGAATATTTTAAGCTTGGCATTCATATTTTCTTGAGAAAAGTTTCTGTAGGTGGAATTGCTAAATCAAAATGTCAACATTTTTAAAGCTTTTGATGGTTAATGCAAAATCTCCCCCACCAAAAAAATTATATTACTTTCCGTGCAACATAAGAGTCTTTGTTTCCATATTGTAAGCTTTCTTCAGGGGTAGGAATGGCATTTAATATTTGCCGAACTGTGATATATTGATTAATTTATACGTCATTGAACTCGTAAAAATATATTTGCAAACATTTTATGAATTTGTTCATGCATGTTTGTTTTCAGTTTACTACTATGTACACCTTTTGTGTGTTAAGAGTTAGCCTGATAAACAGTTTCATAAAAATTTGGGATCTCTATATTGAAAGATATGTTAAACTTAAAAGCAATTAAAGATGTTGAAGACTTAAAATAATGTCCATTGAAAATCATTCTTTTGGATCTGTTTATTTCATTGTTTTACTTTTTTATTTTGTAATTATTTCTTAAATTTTTGATGTGTGTTTGTGTAAGCATGAACTTCATCTTGTGTACATTGATTCTTAGAGAGAGAGGAAGGGAGAGAAAGAGAGTAAAACATAATATGAGAGAAATGTCTAGCAGTTGTCTCCCATACATGCTGATAGATTAAAACCAGAAGCTCTAATAGGTTAAAATCAGAAGTCTTGGCCATGTATTTCTTTTCTATTTCAGTGTTACCACTTCTCCACTAAATTGAAGCTGTGTGTTTAATGTTGAAGTGGATACATAACTTGCTTGTCAATTTTAAAGCATAGCATAAGCTGATAATTTTTTAAAAAGCAGCCTGTAGTTAGATACTGTACTACCATGTCACTCAAATTTTGGGCATAACTGAAACTTGGAAACATTTTTTGCAAGTACTTTAGATTACTGCTGTATTTTTTATATTCTTGTCATCCTTTTACCTCATTAATTCAAAACTATGTTACATTTCTGACTGTGACTTTAAAATGTAACAGAAGAAGAAAAAGTGCTAAATGACTCTCTTGATACTCATTCATATAAATGAAGAAGGTTTTGCCCTGGCTGATTGGTGTCATCCTGGTATGCAAAGGTTATGGGTTCAATCCCCGGTCAGGGCACGTATAAGAAGCAACCAATGAATGCATAAGTAAGCAGAACAATAAATTGATATTTCTCTCTCAAATCAGTAAGTAAATAAAAATATTTTTAAAAAGGGGAAGTTTTAGTCCTGGCTGAGTGGCTCAATTGATTTTAAACATTGTCCTATAAACCAAAAGGTTTGGAGTCAGTCTTGTCAGGGCACATTACCTAGGTTTCAGGTTTGATCTCCAGTCTGGGCTTGTGTGGGAGGCAACTGAAAGATGTTTCTCTCATATCAGTATTTTGCTCTCTCTTCCTTCCTTTCTGTAATAATCAATAAACATATCCTCAGTGGGGACTAAAAATAAAAACGTTTTCAATAATGTTTATTTTGTTTATGATATATGATACAAATTTTTATTATCTATGAAATATGGATGAATTTAAAACATTCCTGAGTTCTCAGAAGTTTTATTTGGGGGGACAAAAGTTGCAAAATCAGATCCTTTGATTAATAACATTTAGTCTAGAATTCTAAAAAGAACATTCACCAAGTTGTCAGGTGAAGAGTGATAGAGATATGTTTGTAATTTAAGGGTTAGGTTACTTGTGGAAAGGACCAAAGGACCTTTTGTAGGTTGTTTTTGTTGCAATTTTTCACTTTTTAACTTGAATATAATATAGTAAAAAAAAATGCCTTATTTTAGTATTATTTAGATTTTGTTTTGTTTGCTGTCACCATTAGTAAAATGAATCAATTTTTGCCAGAAGAAAGATAGAATAAGATGGCAACAATTATATTATTATTGTTATTGTTAAGAGTCATAGCTCCCCCAGTGTCTTAAGTCTAGTTGCTGTGTGCTTCCCTCTTCTATTAATTGAAGGATTTTCAACACAGGAAAAAAAAAATAACAGCAAAATGAGGATCTCTGGAGTTGAATCATATTTTACTGTGGGGCTTATGGGCTGAAACTTCACATAACATTATAGCTATGCATAAAATACACATAAAACTAGACGTTCCATCTTATGAAAATAGACTTATGTTTATTAGTGTGGACCTGTGAGTCATTTAATTCTTTTTTTTTTTTTATCCTCACTCAAGGATATGGTTATTGATTTTAGAGAGAAAGAGAAACATTGATGTGAGGATTAATCTGTTGCTTCCCATTCACACCCCAATGGGAGATCGAATCCACAACCTTTTTTGTAGCATGGGATAATGCCCCAATCAACTGTGCTACCCAGCAAGGGCTCATTTAATCATTTTATTAACCTTTTCTATCTTTCTTTTCATCTTAGATTTTTTTTTGTTTTCAATTAAAGTTTATAGTCAGTGTTGTTTTGTATTAGTGTCAGGTGTATAGCATATGGTTGGACAATCATACTTTAGTGTTCCCACCAATATTTTCAGTAACCTAGCATTGTACGTTCCCTGTGCTCTACATTACACCCCCATGACTGTTTTGTAACTACAAATTTGTGCTTTTTAAAAATTTTTTATTTTTACAGGGAGGGGAAGGAAGGGAGAAAGGGAGTTAGCAAAACATTGGTGTGAGAGAGAAACATTGATCAGCCACACCTTGTACACACCCTGACAGGGGACTGAATCTGCAACATGGTCTTGTGCCCTGATCCGGAATCAAAGAGGTGACCCCTCACTCTGCAGGATAATGCCCAACGAACAGCCATACCGACCAGGGCACAAATATGCACTACTTAATCCCCTCACCTTTTTTACCCTTTTCTACTGCCTCTCACCCCCCACCACTGGCAACCATCAGTCTGTTCTCTATTTATGAGTCTGTTTCTATCTTGTTTGTTCATCTATTTTTGCATTTTGTTCTTTAAATTCCACATATAAGTGAAATCAATATGGTATTTGTCTTTCTCTGTCTGACTCATTTCAATTAGCATAACACCTTATAGGTTCGTTCATGTTGTTGCAGTTGGTAAGGTTTCATTCTTTTTTATGGCTGAGTAATATTTCATTCTATGTGTATACCATCACTTTTTAATCCACTTAGCTATTGATGGGCTCTGAGGCTGCTTCCATATCTTAACTATTGTAAATAATGCTGCAGTAAACATAATGGTGCATATATTCTTTGCAATTAGTTTTTTGGGTTACTTTGGATACATATCCAGAAGTGGAAATGCTGGGTCATAAGGCAGTTCCATTTTTACTTTTTTTGAGGACCCTCCATACCATTTCCATAGT